ATCTAACGGAGGAGGGAAGTGAGTTCCACAGGAACGGTGCAGCCCTCGAGAAATCTTGAAGGCGAGCATCAGAGGTGGGAGTACGGACAGAAGATAGACGTAAGTCTTCAGCAGATCGTAAGGGCCTAGACGGGACATACATTTGTATAAGGGAGGATAGATAGGTGGGAGCAGCATTATGTAGAGATTTGAAAGCAAAAAATTGAGCTCTATGTCTTATAGAAATCCAATGTAGGGAATGACAGAAGGGTGAGGCGTGGGAGGTGCGGGCGGACAGGAAGATGAGCCTCGCCCCCGCATTGATTATGGACTGTAATGGTGCAAGTTGGGAGCACGTAAGACCACTGAGAAGCGGATTACAGTAGTCAAGGCGAGAAAGGACAGTGGAATGGACCAACAGCTTAGTCGCAACTGGCATTAAGTAGGGGCGGATGAGCGCAATGTTTTTGAGATGGAAATGACAGGATTTGTCGATAGACTGAACATAAGGGTTGAAGGAGAGGTCGGAGTCAAAGAGAACACCTAGGCAGTGAGCCTGCGTGGTGGAGCTGATGGTAGCACCACTGACTTGGAGGGAGACAGACACAGGAGGTAACAACACTTGAGGGAGGAAAGACAAGAATTTCAGTTTTGGTTAAGTTGAGTTTAAGGAAGTGGGCAGCCATCCAGTTAGAAACAGCAGAGAGGCAGTCAGAGACACTAGTCAAGAGGGACGGGGAAAGATCAGGAGAGGACAGGTAGATATGCATGTCATCGGCATAGAAATGATATTGGAAGCCAAAGGAGCTAATGAGTTTACCAAGTGAGGCAGTATAGATGGAGAACAGTAGGGGACCAAGGACTGAACCTTGGGTGACACCAACAGAGAGGAGTGGGGGAGAAGAAGCAGAGCCAGAGAAAGAAACACCGAAAGAGTTTAGGAGAGGTAGGAGGAGCACCAGGAGAGAGCAATATCTTGTAGGCCGATATTGCGGAGAATGAGAAGAAGCTATTGATGATCAACAGTGTCAAAAGCCACAGACAGGTCAAGGAGAATTAGGATAGAGTAGTGACCACAAGATTTTGCAACAAGTAGATCATTGGATACTTTGGTCAGTGCCGTTTCAATGGAGTACTTAGCATGGAAACCAGACTGAAGCGGGTCTAGCAGTTGGACTCGAGGAAATCTGTCAATCTCACATACACAATTCTTTCAAGGATCTTGCATGCAAAAGGCAGTAGCAAGAATGGACGGTAGTTGGATGTGGAGTAAGGGTCAAGGTTGGGCTTCTTTAGAATTGGGGTTACAGTTGCATGTTTGAAGGGCAATGGACATATACCAGAGGAGAGAGAAAGATTGAGAATTTTAGTGAGAGGTGGAGAAAGAGAAGAAGACAAAGTACAGATGAGATGCGAGGGAATTAAATCTAGGAAGCAGGTGGTGGGGCGGGAGGACTGGAACAGAGCAGAAACCTCTTCCAATGTAACGGGTGCAAATGAACATAGAACAGCAGAGGGAGTGAAGTTAGGGGAAGTATTGTAAGGGGAAGAAAAAAGATGAGAGATCTCTTCCCTGATTGTAGAGATATTGTCAGTGAAGTGAGTTGCAAAGTCTGAGGCTGTCAAGTTAGTAGGTGAAGGAGGAAAAACAGGGCGAAGGAGAGAGTTAAATGTGTGAAATAGTCGTTTGGGTTCGTGGGAGAGTGTGGTTATGAGTGTATTGAAGTAATTTACTTTTGCAGAGGAAAGAGCCAAGCTGTATGAGCACAGCATAAATTTATAGTGGAGAAAGTCAGACGCACAGTGAGACTTTCTCCAACAGCGTTCAGCGGTTCTGGAGCATTTTTGGAGGTATCGAGTGAGCTTGGTGTGCCAGGGTTGTTGTTGGGGGCGCCTGCGGCATTTAAATGTAGAAGATGCCATGATGTCTAGTTGTGAGGAGAGTGTGGAATTATAGAAGGAGGTTGCAGAACTAGGACAGGTGAGGTTTGAGATAGGTAAAAGGAGCGTTTGGAGATTAGGGGAAAAATGCTCTAGGTCAAGACATTGGAGGTTTCTGTGAGAGTGATGTTCAGACGGTGGTGTCAATTGGGTCTTAGGTATGCCAATGTCAAATGTCAGCAGATGCTGGTCATATAGAGGAAAAGGAATATTGGAGAGATTAGAGGCAGTACAGAGGTAGGGGAAGGCAAGATCAAGAGTGTTTCCCGCTGTATAAGTTGCTAAATTGGACCATTGCGTAAGGCCAAAGGAGGAGGTTACAGAGAGCAGACGAGAAGCATCAGTGCAATTGGGGTTGTTGATTGGGATATTGAAATCCCCAAGTATAAGGGAAGGAGTGCTAGATGAGAGAAAGTGGGGAAACCAGTAAGGAAAGTGTTCAATGAATAGTCTAGGATAACTGGGGGGGAGGGGAGGGTAGATGGGGGAGGTAGATTATAGCAATTCTTAAAGGAGTGGGTTTAAATAGGGGGACAGCATGAACTTCAAAAGAAGAAAAGGATAGGGCAGGGGGAGTTATGATTGGTTGAAAGGTACATTGAGGCGAGAGAAGGATGCCCACGTCGCCTCCTTTACAGTTGACTCTGGTAGTGTGAGAGAATTGTAGCCCACCAAAACATAAAGAGGCAGGAGAAGCACTATCAGAGGGGGACAGCCAGGTCTCTGTAAGTGCAAGCAGTGTGAGTGAGTTTGAGATGAAAAAGTCGTGTATGGTTGTTGATTTTAAATTACTGCTGATGGAGCGGGCATTCCAGAGTGCACATTGAATGTTAGTAAGTGATGGTACAGGGCAGGGTATTGTGATGAGGTTATTGTGATGAGGTTTGCGGGGTTTCTAGCATCAGGCTTGCTCACAGCAATAATGGACTTGCAATCAGGCTGTTGAATAAAGAGATGTGAGGGTCAGAGAGCTTGCAATAAAGTTGAGGTATAAAAGTATAAAGTATAGCGAATAACCTTATATAGTGAATATCCCTGTATAGCGAATAACCGTGTATAGCGAATAACCCTGTGTAGCAAATAACCCTGTATAGTGAATAACCCTGTATAGCAAATAACCCTGCATAGCGAATAACCCTGTATAGCGAATATCCCTGTATAGCGAATAACTGGGTATAGCGAATAAACCTGTATAGTGAATGACCCTGTATTGTGAAAAACCTTGTATAGTGAATGACCCTGTATTGTGAATAACCTTGTATAGCGAATAACCATGTATAGCGAATAACCGGGTTTATGTCACAACATCATACTTCCACCGAAGAGCAAACTGATGATGGTGGAATAGGACCCAAAATTCTGGTCTTTTGGGAGGTTTGCAACATGCCGATGTTACCATTATTACATAACATAGGTTTCATTAAATGCAAGTGTGCTCCAGGATGTGAGATAGTCCAGCAAGGTAGCCAAAGAGGGCCATACATTGGCAGAAACAGAGCCACATATACTATTCTACAGGTAGAGATAGTCCAACAAGGTAGCCAAAGAGGGCCATACATGAGCAGAAACAGGGCCACAGATACTATTCTACAGATAGAGATAGTCCAACAAGGTAGCCAAAGAGGGCCATACATGAGCAGAAACAGAGCCACAGATACTATTCTATAGGTAGAGATAGTCCAGCAAGGTAGCCAAAGAGGGCCATACATGATCAGAAACAGAGCCACAGATACTATTCTACAGGTAGAGATAGTCCAGCAAGGTAGCCAAAGAGGGCCATACATGATCAGAAACAGAGCCACAGATACTATTCTTTAGGTAGAGCTAGTCCAGCAAGGTAGTCCAGAGGGCCATACATGAGCAGAAACAGGGCCACAGATACTATTCTTTAGGTAGAGATAGTCCAGCAAGGTAGTCCAGAGGGCCATACATGAGCAGAAACAGCAGCTAACAACACATCATAACAGTCTTTCTCACTACAGTTTAGTTTTTTTCTGAAATGTCTCCAGAATCAAGACACAATCAGGAAACATTTGGACCATTACAACAATTTTAAAGAAATGCTTTTTGTTGCAGAGTATTTGGGAAAGTTGACTGGCATGCAGATTGGTTATTAGGTCTGTATACTCACTTTGTAGTCCATTATTTATAGCAGTGGATGTGGTTCCTGTAGAAACAGTGACAGAAGATGCTGTAGTAGATGAAGCCCCAATACCAGTGGATCCTGTAGTAGTAGATCCTGTAGTAAGTGTCATACCAGGGGTAGTGGATGCTGTAGTAAGTGTCATACCAGGAGTAGTGGATGTTGTAGTAACTGCTGTACCAGTAGTAATGGATCCTGTAGTAAGTGTCATACCAGTAGCAGTGGGTCCTGTAGTAACTGCTGTTTGAGTAGCAGTGGGCCCTGTAGTAACTGTTGTCCCAGTAGTAGGGGATCCCATAGTAATTACTGTTCCAGTAGTAGTGGATCCTATCATAACTGATGTTCCAATAGTAGTAGATCCTGTAGTAACTGTTGTCCCAATAGTAGTGGATCCTGCTAGGGTACTAGTTGGTGCTGGTTTAGTAGTTGGTACTGTTGTAGAAGTGGGTCCAGCTGTAGTAGTTGGTGCTGGTGTAGTAGTTTGTGTGGTAGTTAGTGCTGGTGTAGTAGTTGGTGATGTTGTAGTAGTTAGTGCTGGTGTCGTAGTTAGTGCTGGTGTAGCAGTTGGTGCTGTTGTAGTAGTTTGTGCTGGTGTTAAAATTAGTGCTGATGTAGGAGTTGGTACTAGTGTAGATGTGGGTCCAGCTGTAGTAGTTGGGGCTGGAGTAGAAGTAGGTCCAGCTGTAGTAGTTGGTGCTGGTGTAGTAGTTTGTGCTGTAGCAGTTGGTGCTGGTGTAGTAGTTGGTGCTGCTGTAGTACTTTGTGCTGATGTAGTAGGTACAGCTGTAGTAGTAGTGGGTGCAGGTGTAATAGTTAGTAATGGTGTAGTAGTAGCTGCTGCAGTAGCTGGTGCTGGTGTAGTAGTTTGTGCTGGTGTAGTAGTTGGTGCTGGACCAGTAGTTTGTGCTGCTGTAGTACTTTGTGCTGGTGTAGTAGGTACAGTTGTAGTAGTAGTTGGTTCTGGTGTAGTAATGTGTGCTGGTGTAGTAGTAAGTAATGGTGTAGTAGTGAGTGCTGCTGTAGTAGTTAGTGTTGGTGTAGTAGTTAGTGGAGCTGTAGTAGTTAGTGCTGGGGTGGTGGGTGCTGGTGTAGTGGTTAGTGCTGGTGTAGTCGTTGGTGCTGGTGTAGTAGTTAGTGCGGGTGTAGTAGTAGGTGCTGGTGTAGTAGTGGGTGCTAATGTAGTAGTAGGTGCTGCTGTAGTTATAGGTGCTGGTGTAGTAAGTGGTGCTGGTGTAGTAGTTAGTGGAGCTGTAGTAGTTAGTGCTGGTGTAGTAAATGGTGTGACTGTGGTAGTTGGTGCTTGTGTAGTAGTTACTGCTGCTGTAGTAGTAGGTTCAACTGTAGTAGTTTGTGCTGGTGTAGTAGTTTGTGCTGGTGTTGTAGCTGGTGCTGGTGTAGTGGTGAGTTCAGCTGTAGTAGTTGGTGCTGGTGTAGTAGTTAGTGCTGGTGTAGTAGTTGGTGCTGGTGTAGCAGTGGATTCAGCTGTGGTTGTTAGTGCTGGTGTAGTAGTTGGTGCTGGTGTAGTAGTGGATTCAGCTGTAGTGGTTGGTACTGGTGTAGTAGTTGGTGCTGGTGTAGTAGTTGGTGCTGGTGTAGTAGTTGGTGCCTGTGTAGTAGTGGGTTCAACTGTAGTAGTTGGTGCTGGTGTAGTAGTTAGTGCTGGTGTAGTAGTGGGTACAGCTGTAGTAGTTGGTGTTAGTGTAGTAGTTAATGCTGCCGTAGTTGGTTGTGCTTGTGTAGCAGTGGGATCAGCTGTAGTAGTTGGTGCAGGTGTAGTAGTGGGTTCAGCTGTAGTAGTTGGTGCTGGTGTAGTAGTTAGTGCTGGTGTAGTAGTTAGTGCTTGTGTAGTAGTTGGCTCTGCAATAGTAGTTGGTGCTGATGTACTAGTTAGTGCTGGTATAGGAGTGGGTTCAGCTGTAGTAGTTGGTGCTGGTGTAGTAGTTGGTGCTGCTGTAGTAGTAGGTGCTTCTGTAGTAGTTGGTGCTGGTGTAGTAGTTGGTGCTGCTGTAGTAGTAGGTGCTTCTGTTGTAGTTGGTGCTGGTGTAGTAGTTGGTGCTGATGTAGTAGTTGGTGCTTCTGTTGTAGTTGGTGCTGGTGTAGTAGTTGGTGCTGCTGTAGTAGTTGGTGCTGCTGTAGTAGTAGCTGCTTCTGTAGTAGTTAGTGCTGTTGTAGTAGTTGGTGCTGCTGTAGTAGTAGGTGCTTCTGTTGTAGTTGGTGCTGCTGTTGTAGTCGGTGCTTCTGTTGTAGTTGGTGCTGCTGTAGTAGTAGGTGCTTCTGTTGTAGTTGGTGCGGCTGTAGTAGTAGGTGCTTCTATAGTAGTT